TATACTTTTTCAATGTTTAAAATGGAGGGTTTTTTCCCCAAATACATGCTCCAGTTTGACCCGCTCATCAAAAGCACTTTTATTCAAGTTAGCGTCTGGAAACTCTGATACAATTCTGAACAAACAAAAAAACTTCATCCCTTCGTCCTTTCTGTTTTTTTTTTCAAGAGGCAGACCAGATCTCAGAGAGTATCAGCTGAAATAGTGTGACACATTTACTGAAATCATACAGAAATGATAGATATTGTGACATATCTTGGTGTCTGGTCCTCTCCAGGTCCTTGCCCTCTCCAGGTCCTGGTCCTCTCCAGGTCCTGGTCCTCTCCTGGTCCTGGTCCTCTCCAGGTCCTGGTCCTCTCCAGGTCCTGGTCCTCTCCTGGTCCTGGTCCTCTCCAGGTCCTGGTCCTGGTCCTCCCAGGTCCTGGTCCTCTCCAGGTCCTGGTCCTGGTCCTCTCCAGGTCCTGGTCCTGGTCCTCTCCAGGTCCTGGTCCTCTCCAGGTCCTGGTCCTGGTCCTCTCCAGGTCCTGGTCCTCTCCAGGTCCTGGTCCTGGTCCTCTCCAGGTCCTGGTCCTGGTCCTCTCCAGGTCCTGGTCCTCTCCAGGTCCTGGTCCTCCTCTCCAGGTCCTGGTCCTCTCTGCAGGTCCTGGTCCTCTCCAGGTCCTGGTCCTCTCCAGGTCCTGGTCCTCTCCAGGTCCTGGTCCTCTGCAGGTCCTAGTCCTTCCTCAAGTGGAGGAGTTCAAGTATCTCAGGGTCTTGTTCACAGTGAGGGAAGGATGGAGCGTGAGAATGACAGGTGGATCGGTGCAGTGAGACTGTTGTGGTGAAGAGGGAGCAGCGTCTATAGTCAGAGCTGTATGAGACTGTTGTGGTGAAGAGGGAGCAGCGTCTATAGTCAGAGCTGTATGAGACTGTTGTGGTGAAGAGGGAGCAGCGTCTATAGTCAGAGCTGTATGAGACTGTTGTGATGAAGAGGGAGCAGCGTCTGCAGTCAGAGCTGTATGAGACTGTTGTGGTGAAGAGGGAGCAGCGTCTATAGTCAGAGCTGTATGAGACTGTTGTGGTGAAGAGGGAGCAGCGTCTATAGTCAGAGCTGTATCAGACTGTTGTGGTGAAGAGGGAGCAGCGTCTACAGTCAGAGCTGTATGAGACTGTTGTGGTGAAGAGGGAGCAGCGTCTATAGTCAGAGCTGTATGAGACTGTTGTGGTGAAGAGGGAGCAGCGTCTATAGTCAGAGCTGTATGAGACTGTTGTGGTGAAGAGGGAGCAGCGTCTATAGTCAGAGCTGTATGAGACTGTTGTGGTGAAGAGGGAGCAGCGTCTATAGTCAGAGCTGTATGAGACTGTTGTGGTGAAGAGGGAGCAGCGTCTATAGTCAGAGCTGTATGAGACTGTTGTGGTGAAGAGGGAGCAGCGTCTATAGTCAGAGCTGTATCAGACTGTTGTGGTGAAGAGGGAGCAGCGTCTACAGTCAGAGCTGTATGAGACTGTTGTGGTGAAGAGGGAGCAGCGTCTATAGTCAGAGCTGTATGAGACTGTTGTGGTGAAGAGGGAGCAGCGTCTATAGTCAGAGCTGTATGAGACTGTTGTGGTGAAGAGGGAGCAGCGTCTATAGTCAGAGCTGTATGAGACTGTTGTGGTGAAGAGGGAGCAGCGTCTATAGTCAGAGCTGTATGAGACTGTTGTGGTGAAGAGGGAGCAGCATCTACAGTCAGAGCTGCATGAGACTGTTGTGGTGAAGAGGGAGCAGCGTCTATAGTCAGAGCTGCATGAGACTGTTGTGATGAAGAGGGAGCAGCGTCTATAGTCAGAGCTGTATGAGACTGTTGTGGTGAAGAGGGAGCAGCGTCTATAGTCAGAGCTGTATCAGACTGTTGTGGTGAAGAGGGAGCAGCGTCTACAGTCAGAGCTGTATGAGACTGTTGTGGTGAAGAGGGAGCAGCGTCTACAGTCAGAGCTGTATGAGACTGTTGTGGTGAAGAGGGAGCAGCGTCTATAGTCAGAGCTGTATGAGACTGTTGTGGTGAAGAGGGAGCAGCGTCTACAGTCAGAGCTGTATCAGACTGTTGTGGTGAAGAGGGAGCAGCGTCTACAGTCAGAGCTGCATGAGACTGTTGTGATGAAGAGGGAGCAGCGTCTATAGTCAGAGCTGTATGAGACTGTTGTGATGAAGAGGGAGCAGCGTCTGCAGTCAGAGCTGTATGAGACTGTTGTGGTGAAGAGGGAGCAGTGTCTATAGTCAGAGCTGTATGAGACTGTTGTGGTGAAGAGGGAGCAGCGTCTGCAGTCAGAGCTGTATGAGACTGTTGTGGTGAAGAGGGAGCAGCGTCTGCAGTCAGAGCTGTATGAGACTGTTGTGATGAAGAGGGAGCAGCGTCTATAGTCAGAGCTGTATGAGACTGTTGTGGTGAAGAGGGAGCAGCGTCTATAGTCAGAGCTGTATGAGACTGTTGTGGTGAAGAGGGAGCAGCGTCTATAGTCAGAGCTGTATGAGACTGTTGTGGTGAAGAGGGAGCAGCGTCTGCAGTCAGAGCTGTATCAGACTGTTGTGGTGAAGAGGGAGCAGCGTCTATAGTCAGAGCTGTATGAGACTGTTGTGGTGAAGAGGGAGCAGCGTCTATAGTCAGAGCTGTATGAGACTGTTGTGGTGAAGAGGGAGCAGCGTCTATAGTCAGAGCTGTATGAGACTGTTGTGATGAAGAGGGAGCAGCGTCTATAGTCAGAGCTGTATGAGACTGTTGTGGTGAAGAGGGAGCAGCGTCTATAGTCAGAGCTGTATGAGACTGTTGTGGTGAAGAGGGAGCAGCGTCTATAGTCAGAGCTGTATGAGACTGTTGTGGTGAAGAGGGAGCAGCGTCTATAGTCAGAGCTGTATGAGACTGTTGTGGTGAAGAGGGAGCAGCGTCTATAGTCAGAGCTGTATGAGACTGTTGTGATGAAGAGGGAGCAGCGTCTATAGTCAGAGCTGTATGAGACTGTTGTGGTGAAGAGGGAGCAGCGTCTATAGTCAGAGCTGTATGAGACTGTTGTGGTGAAGAGGGAGCAGCGTCTATAGTCAGAGCTGTATGAGACTGTTGTGGTGAAGAGGGAGCAGCGTCTATAGTCAGAGCTGCATGAGACTGTTGTGGTGAAGAGGGAGCAGCGTCTACAGTCAGAGCTGTATCAGACTGTTGTGGTGAAGAGGGAGCAGCGTCTGCAGTCAGAGCTGTATCAGACTGTTGTGGTGAAGAAGAGCTGTGCCAAAAGGCAAAACTCTCAATTTACCGGTCAATCTTCGTTCCCTCCCTCACCTATGGTCATGAGCTTTGGGTAATGACCGAAAGAACGAGATCGCGGATACAAGCGGTCGAAATGAGCTTCCTCCGCAGAGTGGCTGCTCCCTTAGAGATAGGGTGAGGAGCTCAGTCACACGGGAGGAGCTCGGAGTAGAGCCGCTGCTCCCTTAGAGATAGGGTGAGGAGCTCAGTCACACGGCAGGAGCTCGGAGTAGAGCCGCTGCTTCTCCACGTCGAGAGGAACCAGTTGAGGTGGCTCGGGCATCTGTTCCCGATACCTCCTGGACGCTTCCCTGGGGAGGTGTTTCGGGCACATCCCACCAGGAGGAGACCCGGGGAAGACCTAGGACACAGAGGGACTATGCTGGGCACGCCTTGGGGTCCGCTCAGATGAACTGGAGGAAGTGTGTGGAGTGGGAGGTCTGGGCGTCCCTGCTCAGACTGCTGGATGGATGGATATATCTGTATACACATCAGAACAGATGGCTGAACAGAAAACCAAAACACATCTGCTGCTCACTAATATTATCTTCTGTGACGTACAATAGTTCAGGGTTTGGGTGTGTTTGTGTTTGTGAGTGCAACTGTGGGACAGCGGATGGAAATGAACCCCAGGCAACAAACCTGTTCATTATCACAGATTGTCCGATCCAGAAAACAACAAGAAAATAATATAATAAAGTCGTGGTAAGCAGATACAGATCTTAAAGGATCTGTTTTATGATTGTACAGACTTGTTCCAATACAGAGTCAAAATGTTCAAAACTATTTCAGAATGATCCACAGATGTATTTTTATTATTGTAAAGAGCATAAAACAACAATACACACTTTCTCTTCTATCTACAACTAATAAAAAGAAGAACCAGTTTCATAGAGTGTTTTTCCTAACTCGCACAGACACATTATTCACTTTGTTTACAGTGGTGATAAACTACTCCTGTAGCCACAGCTGCCCCGGGGCATCAATCTTTACCATTTTCCTCTCAGACCACCACCGATCATTCACACACTCCAGACTTATACTGATGTGAGGAAAGTGTTTTTTTGTTTTTTTATATACTCTACTATTTTTTAGTTTATCCCTTTACAATTCCACCGGTCAAAATAACAGTAATTATTATCATCATAATTCAAAAACATTGCCATCCCTTTATTTGTCCATTTCTGGGTCGGGGGGTGGCAATGTTTTTGAATTATGATTCCAATTATTATTGTGCCTGCGCCTGGTGTACCCAGATGTCTCCCATCAAAGTGCTAACCAGGCCCTGTGCTGCTTATCTTCTCGTGGTCACATACAAGTGGTGCCAACTACTCTTCTATAAAGTCCAATCTGTTGAGCTCCGAAATGAAGTAAGATCATGGATTTACATCTGAATACTTTTGTTTTGAGTTTATTTAATGCATCGTTTCCAGGGGGACCTTTTTACACGTCGCACACTGAAGGCAAAACTCTCTATTTCTGTACTTCAAGTTGAAATGTGAAAACAAGCCGTTGTTTGTTATAATGTTGATGATTAGGGCTATTTTGATGATTAAAGGCCATTTTGTAAATAGTCTGATACTACACCGGCACAAAATCTGATTCAAAGATTTATTCATTGTTTTGTTTTGTTTTGTTGTTATTATTTATTCACGTATTTGACAGGGACATTGCAAGTCAACATAGAACAAAACAAGCTTGTGGCATAAGACCTAGCGTACATGGAGTAACTGGAGACAACTAGTTTCAAGAGTAGATGATGGAGATGATGAAGATGATGGAGATGATGGAGATGATGGAGATGATGGAGATGATGAAGATGATGGAGATGATGGAGATGATGGAGATGATGAAGATGATGGAGATGATGGAGATGATGGAGATGATGAAGATGATGGAGATGATGGAGATGATGGAGATGATGGAGATGATGAAGATGATGGAGATGATGGAGATGATGGAGATGATGGAGATGATGAAGATGATGGAGATGATGGAGATGATGGAGATGATGAAGATGATGGAGATGATGGAGATGATGGAGATGATGAAGATGATGGAGATGATGGAGATGATGGAGATGATGGAGATGATGAAGATGATGGAGATGATGGAGATGATGGAGATGATGGAGATGATGAAGATGATGGAGATGATGGAGATGATGGAGATGATCAGTTGAAATCGGTCGATGTGAGCGCTCTTACAACTGGAGATAAACAGTCGATCTCCGGATTCAGTCAGTTGCCCGTGTTCTACTTTTCGGCAACTAGTTTTTGTCCTCAGATCCAGAGATATGACCGATGTGCTCCAACAACATGTGTGTATAGCGCCCTCTACAGTTTATGTCAGAAAACACACTGTAGTTGAGGCCAGTTGCTGTTATTCCCCAGACTGACCTGATACTGGAGCTGCCATCAGACCCAGGTACTGGTGGCATCAGACCCAGGTACTGGTGGCATCAGACCCAGGTACTGATGGCATCAGAACCAGGTACTGGTGGCATCAGACCCAGGTACTGGTGGCATCAGACCCAGGTACTGATGGCATCAGAACCAGGTACTGGTGGCATCAGACCCAGGTACTGGTGGCATCAGACCCAGGCACTGGTGGCATCAGACCCAGGTACTGGTGGCATCAGACCCAGGTACTGGTGGTGGCATCAGACCCAGGTACTGATGGCATCAGACCCAGGTACTGGTGGCATCAGACCCAGGTACTGGTGGCATCAGACCCAGGCACTGGTGGCATCAGACCCAGGTACTGATGGCATCAGAACCAGGTACTGGTGGCATCAGACCCAGGTACTGGTGGCATCAGACCCAGGTACTGGTGGTGGCATCAGACCCAGGTACTGGTGGTGGCATCAGACCCAGGTACTGATGGCATCAGACCCAGGTACTGATGGCATCAGACCCAGGCACTGGTGGCATCAGACCCAAGTACTGGTGGCATCAGACCCAGGTACTGGTGGCATCAGACCCAAGTACTGGTGGCATCAGACCCAAGTACTGGTGGCATCAGACCTAGGTACTGGTGGCATCAGACCCAAGTACTGGTGGCATCAGACCTAGGTACTGGTGGCATCAGACCTAGGTACTGGTGGCATCAGACCCAGGTACTGGTGGCATCAGACCCAGGTACTGGTGGCATCAGACCCAGGTACTGGTGGTGGCATCAGACCCAGGTACTGGTGGCATCAGACCCAGGTACTGGTGGCATCAGACCCAGGTACTATCAGACCCAGGTACTGATGGCATCAGACCCAGGTACTGGTGGCATCAGACCCAGGTACTATCAGACCCAGGTACTGGTGGCATCAGACCCAGGTACTGGTGGTGGCATCAGACCCAGGTACTGGTGGCATCAGACTCAGGTACTGGTGGCATCAGACCCAGGTACTATCAGACCCAGGTACTGATGGCATCAGACCCAGGTACTGGTGGCATCAGACCCAGGTACTATCAGACCCAGGTACTGGTGGCATCAGACCCAGGTACTGGTGGCATCAGACCCAGGTACTGGTGGTGGCATCAGACCCAGGTACTGGTGGTGGCATCAGACCCAGGTACTGATGGCATCAGACCCAGGTACTGATGGCATCAGACCCAGGCACTGGTGGCATCAGACCCAAGTACTGGTGGCATCAGACCCAGGTACTGGTGGCATCAGACCCAAGTACTGGTGGCATCAGACCCAAGTACTGGTGGCATCAGACCTAGGTACTGGTGGCATCAGACCTAGGTACTGGTGGCATCAGACCCAGGTACTGGTGGCATCAGACCCAGGTACTATCAGACCCAGGTACTGGTGGCATCAGACCCAAGTACTGGTGGCATCAGACCTAGGTACTGGTGGCATCAGACCTAGGTACTGGTGGCATCAGACCCAGGTACTGGTGGCATCAGACCCAGGTACTGGTGGCATCAGACCCAGGTACTGGTGGTGGCATCAGACCCAGGTACTGGTGGCATCAGACCCAGGTACTGGTGGCATCAGACCCAGGTACTATCAGACCCAGGTACTGATGGCATCAGACCCAGGTACTGGTGGCATCAGACCCAGGTACTATCAGACCCAGGTACTGGTGGCATCAGACCCAGGTACTGGTGGTGGCATCAGACCCAGGTACTGGTGGCATCAGACTCAGGTACTGACCCAGGTACTGACCCAGGTACTGACCCAGGTACTGACCCAGGTACTGACCCAGGTACTGACCCAGGTACTGATAGTATAATGGCTGTGTATTGGTTTATATTATTATATTATATATTGTTTTATATCGTTCCCTTCTTGTCAAACCCAGCTCATAGTTTGCACCTATAAGAAAATATAAGATAAAAGAAACATCAATCTCATATAAACCATTTCCACTGATGCATTTGACCCGTTGGTCCTGGTCCTGGGTTTGATTCACCTGCAGGCTTTTCTCTGCATGTTCCCCCATGTCTGCGTAAGTTTCCTCCGAGTGCTCCGAGGTCCCAGTCCAAACACGTACAATAGGTCTGGCTCCCATCTCTGTGTGGAGAAGACAGAAGCCCACAACAACTTTAAAGTGCTTGGTGTCTGTCAAAGGAGCTATATCACTGACATACTTACTCCAGCATCCGGCATCAGCCCGATAGGAAAGGCAAGTTTATTTATATAGCACAGTTCATACACAAGGCAACTCAAAGTGCTGAACAAAACAAGAAAGCATTAAAATCATAAATAATCACAGAACATTAAAAGGAAAGATAAAAATATAAAATCCCTCAGTTGTAGCACAGCTAAACAGAACTGTCTTTAACCTGGTTTTAAACATTGTCAGAGAGGAGGCCTGTCTCACATCTTCAGGAAGACTGTTCCAGATTTTAGCAGCATGAATCTGAAAAGCAGCCTCCCCATGTTTAGTTCTGACTCTGGGCACTAACAGGAGTCCAGTCCCTGTGCTCCTCAGAGTCCCAGCAGGAGTCCAGTCCCTGTGCTCCTCAGAGTCCCAGCAGGAGTCCAGTCCCTGTGCTCCTCAGAGTCCCAGCAGGAGTCCAGTCCCTGTGCTCCTCAGAGTCCCAGCAGGAGTCCAGTCCCTGTGCTCCTCAGAGTCCCAGCAGGAGTCCAGTCCCTGTGCTCCTCAGAGTCCGGGCTGGTTCGTATGGGACTAACATGTCACTAATATATTTTGGTGCGAGGCCATGGAGAGACTTGTAACAAGCAGAGCTGTTTTAAAGTCTATTCTCTGAGCCACAGGAAGCCAGTGCAGAGACCTGAGGACTGGACTAATGTGGTCGTACTTCCTGGTTCTAGTCAGGACTAATGTGGTCGTACTTCCTGGTTCTAGTCAGGACTAATGTGGTCGTACTTCCTGGTTCTAGTCAGGACTAATGTGGTCGTACTTCCTGGTTCTAGTCAGGACTAATATGGTCGTACTTCCTGGTTCTAGTCAGGACTAATGTGGTCGTACTTCCTGGTTCTAGTCAGGACTGGAGCTGCTGCATTTTGAATGTACTGCAGCTGTTTTACAGCCTGTTTGGACAGACCTGTGAGCAGGCCATTGCAGTAGTCTAACCTACTGGAGACAAATGCGTGGATAAGAATCTCCAAGTCTGCTTTAGACACTTTGTTTTTAATTTTAGCAATGTTTCTTAGGTGGAAATAAGCTGATGATGTCACAGATGATATGTGGCTATTGAAATTTAAGTCTGAGTCCATTATTACTCCTAGATTTCTGACCTGAGTTGAGGGTTTTAGGGAGAGAGACTGGAGGTGGCAGATAACACTCTCTCTTTGCTTGTAATTTCTTTAGCATAATAAAGAAGCTAGTCTAAAATCTGTAGAAAAAGCAGTATTCTTTGCACTACTCTTTCATCCACATAATAAACAAAAGCCGACTCTGACTCCAGTGCTTTTACTTCCACAGCTGTCAGAGCCGTTTTAAATAATTAGCGCGAAGGACATGTATTGAGCGTGTTGTCTCTCGGCGGGCGGCGGTAACCTGACGGCGCCGTGTCTGTCGTGAGCGCATTACTCTTTGACTCTTTGGAAAGCACGATAAATGGCGTGGCGTTTGATGGATCATTATTTATTCAGCAGCGTGTGGCCCCAACGTGAGCCGTCCACATTTGTTACAGCCGGAGAAAATTAAGAAATAAGAAGAAGAAGAAGAAGAAGAAGAAGAAGAAGAAGAAGAAGAAATGTCTATGTGCAGTATTGTCACTTTTCCCGCTGGGTTTGGACACACAACCAGAGGAGCACAGGGACACACAACCAGAGGAGGATAGGGACACACAACCAGAGGAACACAGGGACACACAACCAGAGGAGCACACGGACACACAACCAGAGGAATACACGGACACACAACCAGAGGAATACACGGACACACAACCAGAGGAGGATAGGGATACACAACCAGAGGAACACAGGGACACACAACCAGAGGAGGATAGGGACACACAACCAGAGGAACACACGGACACACAACCAGAGGAACACACGGACACACAAACAGAGGAGGACAGAAGAAGAAGAAGAGCAAATGTCTATGTGCAGTATTGTCACTTTTCCCGCTGGGTTTAGAGTTTAGAGTTTAGAGTTTAGAGTTTAGAGTTGTTAGAGCCGTAGACTGTAAATATGAACAGATGTAGTCACGCCTATCTCTGCCGTGGCTTGTGCTTTCGGTGGGCTTTTTCAAAATGGCTGCCGGGCAAGAAAATGACGCCATTGCACACGCGTTAGCTGGCACGAGCCCCATTCGTTTGAAGGGTGCCTTCTGAAGTCTACAGCGGCTAAACTAGACTGGTCCAAAACAAATGTTACTCCCCTCAGCATTGACAGCATCTGGAACCAACCATCCTGTAAAGAGGTTTTCGAGATGCGCCATACAAAAGCATTGGGTCATTCTATTTCCGGGTACACCCCCACAGCAAGGAGTGAGGTTGCGGCATGTCAGCGCACGAGCTTGTTTTCGCAGAGGTCCCCCATCATGACCACTAACCAGGCCTTGCTCCACTTAGCTTCCCAGTTCTGCCCAGATTAGGCTTTAACATTGATGCTGTTGTTTGATTAATGACATGTTTCGTCACATAAACAGATTCAGACTAAAACGATTAGTTTGTTGTAATCTCTAATAATTGTTGTGAAATGGTTTGTGAATTCAAATCAAGTGACTTTAATTACTTTAGAATAATTAACTAGTTGGAACTAATGTAATGTGTTGTTTTGAGTCTTTCTGTGTCAAAACAGTGAAAAAACAGTGAAAAAACAGTCAAAAAACAGTCGAAAAACAGTCAAAAAACAGTCAAAAAACAGTCAAAAAACAGTCAAAAAACTGTGAAAAAACTGTGAAAAAACAGTCAAAAAACAGTCAAAAAACAGTCAAAAAACAGTCAAAAAACAGTCAAAAAACTGTGAAAAAACAGTCAAAAAACAGTCAAAAAACAGTCGAAAAACAGTCGAAAAACAGTCAAAAAACAGTCAAAAAACAGTCATTTAATAATGAACCTTGCAAAAATTTAATTGAAAGGAAACCCATTACATTTTCATGGTCACATGACCGTTGGATCAAAAACATAGGGTCTAAAAGCAGACTTGGAGATTCTTATTCTGCTTTTGTCTCCAGATGGTTAGACTACTGCAATGGCCTAGACTGGACTCTGAGGAGCACAGGGACTGGACTCTTACTGGGACTCTGAGGAGCACAGGGACTGGCCTCCTGGACTCTGAGGAGCACAGGGACTGGACTCCTGCTGGGACTCTGAGGAGCACAGGGACTGGACTCCTGCTGGGACTCTGAGGAGCACAGGGACTGGACTCCTGCTGGGACTCTGAGGAGCACAGGGACTGGACTCCTGCTGGGACTCTGAGGAGCACAGGGACTGGACTCCTGCTGGGACTCTGAGGAGCACAGGGACTGGCCTCCTGCTGGGACTCTGAGGAGCACAGGGACTGGACTCCTACTGGGACTCTGAGGAGCACAGGGACTGGACTCCTGCTGGTGACTCTGAGGAGCACAGGGACTGGACTCCTGCTGGGACTCTGAGGAGCACAGGGCTGGACTCCTACTGGGACTCTGAGGAGCACAGGGACTGGACTCCTGCTGGGACTCTGAGGAGCACAGGGACTGGACTCCTGCTGGGACTCTGCGGAGCACAGGGACTGGACTCCTGCTGGGACTCTGAGGAGCACAGGGACTGGACTCCTGCTGGGACTCTGAGGAGCACAGGGACTGGACTCCTGTTAGTGCCCAGAGTCAGAACTAAACATGGGGAGGCAGCTTTTCAGATTCATGCTGCTAAAATCTGGAACAGTCTTCCTGAAGATGTGAGACAGGCCTCCTCTCTGACAATGTTTAAAACCAGGTTAAAGACAGTTCTGTTTAGCTGTGCTACAACTGAGGGATTTTATATTTTTATCTTTCTTGTTATTCTTTCCGAAAATGTGGAGAATCGGGCTCTCACATCCAGCCCCAATGACGACAGTGAAGCTTGAGGCGGGATGACTTTGCTGTAATTATGGAATCCCTCTGTACGAAGAAGGGAACACTCTCTTCTCTCCCTCTCTCTCCCTCTGTACGAAGAAGGGAACACTCTCTTCTCTCCCTCTCTCTCACTCTGTACGAAGAAGGGAACACTCTCTTCTCTCCCTCTCTCTCCCTCTGTACGAAGAAGGGAACACTCTCTTCTCTCCCTCTCTCTCCTCTGTACGAAGAAGGGAACACTCTCTTCTCTCCCTCTCTCTCCCTCTGTACGAAGAAGGGAACACTCTCTTCTCTCCCTCTCTCCCTCTGTACGAAGAAGGGAACACTCTCTTCTCTCCCTCTCTCCCTCTGTACGAAGAAGGGAACACTCTCTTCTCTCCCTCTCTCTCCCTCTGTACGAAGAAGGGAACACTCTCTTCTCTCCCTCTCTCTCCCTCTGTACGAAGAAGGGAACACTCTCTTCTCTCCCGCTCTCCCTCTGTACGAAGAAGGGAACACTCTCTTCTCTCCCTCTCTCCCTCTGTACGAAGAAGGGAACACTCTCTTCTCTCCCTCTGTACGAAGAAGGGAACACTCTCTTCTCTCCCTCTCTCTCCCTCTGTACGAAGAAGGGAACACTCTTCTCTCCCTCTCTCCCTCTGTACGAAGAAGGGAACACTCTCTTCTCTCCCTCTCTCTCCCTCTGTACGAAGAAGGGAACACTCTCTTCTCTCCCTCTCTCTCTCCTCTGTACGAAGAAGGGAACACTCTCTTCTCTCCCTCTCTCTCCCTCTGTACGAAGAAGGGAACACTCTCTTCTCTCCCTCTCTCTCTCCCTCTGTACGAAGAAGGGAACACTCTCTTCTCTCCCTCTCTCTCCCTCTGTACGAAGAAGGGAACACTCTCTTCTCTCCCTCTCTCTCTCCTCTGTACGAAGAAGGGAACACTCTCTTCTCTCCCTCTCTCTCCCTCTGTACGAATAAGGGAACACTCTCTTCTCTCCCTCTCTCTCCCTCTGTACGAAGAAGGGAACACTCTCTTCTCTCCCTCTCTCTCCCTCTGTACGAAGAAGGGAACACTCTCTTCTCTCCCTCTCTCTCTCCTCTGTACGAAGAAGGGAACACTCTCTTCTCTCCCTCTCTCTCTCCTCTGTACGAAGAAGGGAACACTCTCTTCTCTCCCTCTCTCTCTCCTCTGTACGAAGAAGGGAACACTCTCTTCTCTCCCTCTCTCTCCCTCTGTACGAAGAAGGGAACACTCTCTTCTCTCCCTCTCTCTCCCTCTGTACGAAGAAGGGAACACTCTCTTCTCTCCCTCTCTCTCCCTCTGTACGAAGAAGGGAACACTCTCTTCTCTCCCTCTCTCTCCCTCTGTACGAAGAAGGGAACACTCTCTTCTCTCCCTCTCTCTCTCCTCTGTACGAAGAAGGGAACACTCTCTTCTCTCTCTCTCTCTCTCCTCTGTACGAAGAAGGGAACACTCTCTTCTCTCCCTCTCTCTCCTCTGTACGAAGAAGGGAACACTCTCTTCTCTCCCTCTCTCTCTCCTCTGTACGAAGAAGGGAACACTCTCTTCTCTCCCTCTCTCTCCCTCTGTACGAAGAAGGGAACACTCTCTTCTCTCCCTCTCTCTCCCTCTGTACGAAGAAGGGAACACTCTCTTCTCTCCCTCTCTCTCTCCTCTGTACGAAGAAGGGAACACTCTCTTCTCTCCCTCTCTCTCTCCTCTGTACGAAGAAGGGAACACTCTCTTCTCTCCCTCTCTCTCCTCTGTACGAAGAAGGGAACACTCTCTTCTCTCCCTCTCTCTCTCCTCTGTACGAAGAAGGGAACACTCTCTTCTCTCCCTCTCTCTCCCTCTGTACGAAGAAGGGAACACTCTCTTCTCTCCCTCTCTCTCCTCTGTACGAAGAAGGGAACACTCTCTTCTCTCCCTCTCTCTCCCTCTGTACGAAGAAGGGAACACTCTCTTCTCTCCTCTCCCCTCTGTACGAAGAAGGGAACACTCTCTTCTCTCCCTCTCTCTCCCTCTGTACGAAGAAGGGAACACTCTCTTCTCTCCTCTCTCTCCTCTGTACGAAGAAGGGAACACTCTCTTCTCTCCCTCTCTCTCCCTCCTCTGTACGAAGAAGGGAACACTCTCTTCTCTCCCTCTCTCTCCCCTCTGTACGAAGAAGGGAACACTCTCTTCTCTCCCTCTCTCTCCCTCTGTACGAAGAAGGGAACACTCTTCTCTCCCTCTCTCTCCCTCTGTACGAAGAAGGGAACACTCTCTTCTCTCCCTCTCTCTCCCTCTGTACGAAGAAGGGAACACTCTCTTCTCTCCCTCTCTCCTCCTCTGTACGAAGAAGGGAACACTCTCTTCTCTCCCTCTCCCTCCCTCTGTACGAAGAAGGGAACACTCTCTTCTCTCCCTCTCTCCCTCTGTACGAAGAAGGGAACACTCTCTTCTCTCCCTCTCTCCCCTCTGTACGAAGAAGGGAACACTCTCTTCTCTCCCTCTCTCTCCCTCTGTACGAAGAAGGGAACACTCTCTTCTCTCTCTCCTCTCCTCTGTACGAAGAAGGGAACACTCTCTTCTCTCCCTCTCTCTCCCTCTGTACGAAGAAGGGAACACTCTCTCTCTCTCCCTCTCTCTCCCTCTGTACGAAGAAGGGAACACTCTCTTCTCTCCCTCTCTCTCCCTCTGTACGAAGAAGGGAACACTCTCTTCTCTCCTCTCTCTCCCTCTGTACGAAGAAGGGAACACTCTCTCTCTCCTCTCTCTTCCCTCTGTACAAGAAGGGAACACTCTCTTCTCTCCCTCTCTCTCCCTCTGTACGAAGAAGGGAACACTCTCTTCTCTCTCCTCTCTCATCCCTCTGTACGAAGAAGGGAACACTCTCTTCTCTCCCTCTCTCTCCCTCTGTACGAAGAAGGGAACACTCTTCTCTCTCTCCTCTCTCCTCTGTACGAAGAAGGGAACACTCTCTTCTCTCCCTCTCTCCTCTGTACGAAGAGGAAACACTCTCTTCTCTCCCTCTCTCTCCCTCTGTACGAAGAAGGGAACACACTTCTCTCCCTCTCTCTCTCCTCTGTACGAAGAAAGGGACTCTCTTCTCTCCCTCTCTCTCCCTCTGTACGAAGAAGGGAACACTCTCTTCTCTCCCTCTCTCTCCCTCTGTACGAAGAAGGGAACACTCTCTTCTCTCCCTCTCTCTCCCTCTGTACGAAGAAGGGACACTCTCTCCCTCCCTCTCTCTCCCTCTGTACGAAGAAGGGAACACTCTCTTCTCTCCCTCTCTCTCCTCTGTACGAAGAAGGGAACACTCTCTTCTCTCCCTCTCTCTCCCTCTGTACGAAGAAGGGAACACTCTCTCTCTCCCTCTCTCTCCCTCTGTACGAAAAGGGAACACTCTCTTCTCTCCCTCTCTCCCTCTTGTACGAAGAAGGGAACACTCTCTTCTCTCCCTCTCTCTCCCTCTGTACGAAGAAGGGAACACTCTCTTCTCTCCTCTCTCTCCCTCCTGTACGAAGAAGGGAACACTCTCTTCTCTCCCTCTCTCTCCCTCTGTACGAAGAAGGGAACACTCTCTTCTCTCCTCTCTCTCCTCTGTACGAAGAAGGGAACACTCTCTTCTCTCCCTCTCTCTCCCTCTGTACGAAGGAAGGAACACTCTCTCTTCTCTCCCTCTTCCCCTCTGTACGAAGAAGGGAACACTCTCTCCTCTCTCCCTCTGTACGAAGAAGGGAACACTCTCTTCTCTCCCTCTCTCTCCCCTCTGTACGAAGAAGGGAACACTCTCTTCTCTCCCTCTCTCTCTCTCCTCGTACGAAGAAGGGACACTCTCTTCTCTCCCTCTCTCTCCCTCTGTACGAAGAAGGGAACACTCTCTTCTCTCCCTCTCTCTCCTCCCTCTGTACGAAGAAGGGAACACTCTCTTCTCTCTCCCTCTCTCCCCCTCTGTACGAAGAAGGAACACTCTCTTCTCTCCCTCTCTCTCCCTCTGTACGAAGAAAGGGAACACTCTCTCTCTCCCTCTCTCTCCCTCTGTACAAAGAAGGGAACACTCTCTTCTCTCCCTCTCTCTCTCCTTTGTACGAAGAAGGGAACACTCTCTTCTCTCCCTCTCTCTCTCCTCTGTACGAAGAAGGGAACACTCTCTTCTCTCTCCTCTGTACGAAGAAGGGAACACTCTCTTCTCTCCCTCTCTCTCCTCTGTACGAAGAAGGGAACACTCTCTTCTCTCCCTCTCTCTCCTCTGTACGAAGAAGGGAAACTCTCTTCTCTCCCTCTCTCTCTCTCTCTCTCCCTCTGTACGAAGAAGGGAAACACTCTCTTCTCTCCCTCTCTCTCTCTGTACGAGAAGGGAACACTCTCTTCTCTCCCTCTCTCTCCTCTGTACGAACGAAGGGAACACTCTCTTCTCTCCCTCTCTCTCCTCTGTACGAAGAAGGAAACTCTCTTCTCTCTCTCCTCTGTACGAAGAAGGGAAACACTCTCTTCTCCCCCTCTCTCCCTCTGTACAAGAAGGGAACACTCTCTTCTCTCCCTCTCTCTCCCTCTGTACGAAGAAGGGAACACTCTCTTCTCTCCCTCTCTCATCCCTCTCTCTCCCTCTGTACGAAGAAGGGAACACTCTCTTCTCTCCCCTCTCTCTCCCTCTGTACGAAGAAGGGAACACTCTCTTCTTCTCCCTCTCTCTCTGTACTGAAGAAGGGAACACTCTCTTCTCTCTCCCTCTCTCATCCTCTGTACGAAGAAGGGAACACTCTCTTCTCTCCCTCTCTCGTCCTCTGTACGAAGAAGGGACCACTTTCTCTTCTCTCTTCTCTCCCTCTCTCTCCCTCTGTACGAAGAAGGGAACACTCTCTTCTCTCCCTCTCTCTCCCTACTGTACTCGGGAACACTCTCTTCTCTCGCCTCTCTCTCCTCTGTACGAAGAAGGGAACACTCTCTCTTCTCTCTCTCCTCTCTAAACCATAGAACGCTAATCTTAGAACGGTAATCATAGTATGCTAATCATAGTATGCTAATCATAGTACGCTTATTCATAGTACGGCTAACCATAGAACGCTAACCATAGAATGCTACCATAGAACGTCTAACCATAGAACGCTACCCATAGAACGTTATCATAGAACGCTAACCATAAACTGTAAAACCATAGAACCGCTAAATAGAATGCTAACCATAGAACGACTAATATAGAACGATAAACATAGAACTCTAACCCATAGACCGCCTATCTTAGAACGCTAATCATAGAACGCTAACTATAGAACGCTAACATAGAACGCTATCCTTAGAATGCTAACCATAGAACGCTAATCATAGAACGCTAATCATAGAACGCTATTTCATTGAACGCTAATCATAGAACGCTAATTCATAGAACGTAAACCATAGACGCTAACCAATAGAACGCTAACCATAGAATGCTTACAATAGAATGCTAATCATAGACGCTAATTCATAGATCGCTAATCATAGGAACGCTAATATAGAACGCTAATCATAGTACGCTAATATAGTACGCTAATCATAGATCGCTAATCATAGAACGTAATCTTAGTAACGTAACCATAGAACGCTAACCATGACCGCTACCATAGAACGCTAAACATAGAACGCTAACTATAAATCTGTTAAACCTTAGACTGCGTAACCGTAGAATAGTAAACCATTCTTGGGTTTCATATGACGTCAGGGGCAGTGGCGGGAATAACAAACGTAGGACAGGTCTACGAATTAGGAATTGTGTGTCCCGATTAAGGACCGTCGCCCCCTATGGCCAGTTTAATGAAACCCAAGAATGACAGCTAAACCGTTGAACGTTATAACATAGACTGCTATGTGTAGAGTGCTTACCAAAAGATAGTAAAGCTAACCCACTTTCTAGGTCTATTGAGGTATCAGTCTTTATTGGATATGCTGCATATATTTGGAAATGTACGTAAAGGAAAAGACTAATGGATCAATGGAGTTAGCCCCGTTTGCAACAGCACTACCCTTACCGGATTGAATCTAGTACCAGTACTTTGTTAGTTCCTATTGGCATGGTTTAATACAAGTGTTTCTTAGAGTTGCCTTGTGTATGATACTGTACTATACAATTAAACTTGCCTTGTGTGTGTGTCCGTGTGTCTTTTGTGTGCGTGTGTGGTGTCGTGTGTGTGTCTGTGTGCTTTGCTGTGTGTGTGTGTTGTGTGGGTCTTTGTGTGTCTGTGTGTCCATGTGTGTGTGTGTGTGTGTCCGTGTGTGTTGTGTGTGGTGTGTGTGTGTGCGTGTGTGTGTGTCTGTGTGTCTTGCGTGTGTGTGTGTGTGTCTGTGTGTTCTTTTTGTGGGTGTGTGTGTGTGTGTGTGTGTCTGTGTGTCTTTGTGTGTGTGTGTGTCCATGTGTGTGTGTGTGTCCGTGTGTGTGTGTGAGTGTCTTTGTGTGTGACGTGTGTGTGTGTGTGTTATGTGGGTGTGTGTGTCCATGTATGTGTGTGTGGTTGTGTGTCCGTGTGTGTGTGTGGTGTGTGTGTGTGTGTGTGTGTGTGTGTGTTGTGTGTGTGTGTGCAGGTATCCTCACCTTGCTCGCGCTGCCAGGATCGGTATCATCCTCCCAGGGGACACGTCTCCATGGCAGCAACCCAGCAGCACCAGGACTGGCCCACAAGAGGGCTCCAGTAAGCGGGGTGAGTGGTCCTCTGGCCTCCCTCACTTCGCCCCTCAACCCCCCTGCACCCCCGGCATGGCTCAACTCTCACCCTACCACCCTCCATTCATCATCCCACCTCTGGAACCGCTGCCCAAGAAACTCGGTGAAAGTCCAGGTCTGACACAGACCGTGGGAAGTCTATAGAAATCACCACATACAAAAATCACAATATTGCATCGGCCTCTAGACGCAGAGGCCAGACTCAGGGCGGTCCGCGGCGTTCGGAAAGCATCACGCCATCCGCTGAAGAGGTGAACACGGAAACTCCCACTGATGAGCTCGTACGCAATCAGCTCCAGTCCCCCCCACAGATAAACCACGTACGGTCCACGGCCATAATTCCACCCCCGGGGAAAAAGCGTTTGCGTTAGCATAAGTGCGACCAAGCGGAGGAGGAGGGGCCAGTCTGAGTGGGTGGTCACGACAGTGGGGTCGACATGAGGAACGTGCTGCCTTCGGGGGGCTGATGTGTCCATGCTAGCTCCGGGGATGCTAAGGGCGACCGGGGGAATTGTCGGAGTTTGAGTCAAAGCGGAGTGGCAACTTCCTGAACAGGCAGGTCCCGGCGACCACGCGGACCCTGGATGTCCACGAACCAGCTCGGGTCCCACTGTGAGCCGCGCCCCTTTCCCGAACGATGATCTGTCTGAGCCGCATGGACATTGTGTGGAACGTGCAGGCCATCAGTGTGGCCTGTGTCGTAAGACTGTGGTATGAAACATGTTTATTTTTGTACAGTCGTCGTTCCTCAACAATGGAATCAAACTGTTCCAACACAGGAAGTACGTAGTGTTTCTGAGTTGAATTTCCACGTTGAGTAGCGTTTGGGTCGGCATCTAGATCATATACGGAATCGGGACGAAAAGGGGAAGTAAACAATCCTACTTTTGATTTAGTTTTAGACTAAAAAAGTCCCTTAAGTGGTGGATGGTTACGTTTGAGGTGTCTGAGTGAGATGGTTCAAGGTTAGGGTTAAGGCTGGAGTTTGGGGTTATTTTATGGGAATGTCGGTTAAGTTTAGGCATGTAGGCAGGTAGTTTGTTGTATTTCTTCCGTTCCGTCCCGATTCCGTATTGATCTAGTGCTGACCGTAGCGTTTGTACCTATGGATATAAAAAAATAGATTAGGATATTAACTAGGTATAGCTGAAGGACCCACGGGCTGGTGGCTTCCAGCGGTACTGCAGCCGAAATGTTTCACACGGGTACTAGACTTTTTCCCATAGAACTCACTGTAATCTAAACAGCTCCATCTCAGCTGACGAGAACCTGACAGAGAACTGACAGAGAACCTACTGTTTCATAAAGGTCAAGTTTGTGGAGATTTTTTTGTTGGATTTTGTCTATTTGATTCTTTTTTTTCTTGTTAAATCACATTTAGCGCAACAATCTCTGCTCGTTTTCTTCCCGCTCTAGCTCCGCTCTGATCAGCAGCTTTGACTGGTGAAGATGTGTCTTTTGCTCCTCTGTGCAAGTGCATGAGAGCCTCACACGCGTGGCCTTTTAGTTTTGGTGTCAAAGCATCATGGGAGGTCTTCTATGCGCAGAACTGGGAGAAGATGGACAAGTGCCGTATCTTTCGGTGCCCCATGGTGGCTACGGATTAGAATTGCCGCCTTTTGTATCAATAAATCAGCGTTGTTTATTCGAGCAAATAAGTGTTCAAGATCAAAAGTAGGAAATCAAAATAGTGCCTAAATAACCCTGAGTTGCATTTACTAATACAAAATTATAAATATTATGTTACACAAAGCTGAACCAAACGTCAGTTGTCACCCATTACTTTACAAGATTAGATAGATTATAATACATGGTTTGGGCTACAAAATTATTATTCCTAAGAATGTGATATATTTTGAACAATTAAAACTGCCACACATTTGATATGACTGTGTGTGACCCGTGTGTGACCCGTGTTGTGACCCGTGTGTGATGGTGTGTTAGTGCGTGTGTGACCGTGTGTAAGCGTGCTGTGGACCTTGTGTGAATGCCGTGTTGTGACCCGATTGTGTGATCCGTGGATGATGGTTTGTGTGGGAGGGGGGGGCCCAATGTGTGATGCGTGTTGTGACCGTGTGGTATGACCCGTGTGTGACCCGTGTGTGTTCCGTGTGTGACGGCGTGTGTGCCCGTGTGTGATGGTGTTGTGACCCGTGTGTGATCGTGTGTGATGCGTGTGTGACCATGTTGATGGTGTTGTGAGTGTGTGACCCGTGGTGTGACCCGTGTGTGAACCCGTGTGTGACCGTGTGTGTTCCGTTGTGTGAGCGTGATGTGACCCGTGTGTGATGCGTGTTGTGTCCCGTGTGTGATGCGTGTTGTGACCGGTGTGTGACTCGTGTGTGACCCTGTTTGAGGTGTGTGATTGCATGTGATGCAGCCCGGTGCCTCTGACCGTTGTGCTGCTTGAGGAGAGAAGAAGTCGTACGATTCACAACGGGTCACAACACGCATCACACACGGGTCACAACACGGCATCACACACGGGTCACCACACGCGATCACACACCGGATCCCACACGGGTCCCACACGGGTCACACACGGGTCACAGGGTCCACCAAGGGTCACAGACACGCATCACACATGGGTCACACACGCATCAAACGGATCACACACGGGTCACAACAGCCATCACACACGGGGTCACACACGGTCACACACGGAACACACACGGGGTCACACACGGGTCACACACGTGGTCACAACACGCATCACACTTGGGACACACACGCATCAACACGGATCACACACGGGTCCAACACGCATCACAATATGGGTCCACACACGCATCACACAGGGTCCACACGCTTCAACCACGATCACACACGGGTACACTCGGGTCACACACGGGTCACACACGTCATATCACATGTGTGCAGTTTTATTGTTCAAAATATTAAACATTCTAGGATATAATTGTTAGCCCAAACATGTATTTAATCTATCTAATCTGTAAAGTAATGGGGGACAATCTGACGGGTTTGGTTCAGCTTTTGTGATATATAATATTTATAATAGTATTTGTAAATGCACTCAGGGTTGAGTTATTTAGAGCACCAATTTTGATTTTCTACTTTTGATTCTTGTACATTATTGCTCGAAATAAACTAACGCTGAGTGATTGATCAAAGATGGCGGCGTATTATTCTTATCGTAGCCACATGGGCCGAAAGATTAGCGGGGGAACTTGTCATCTTCTCCCAGTTCTGCGTCACAGTAGAAGACCTCACATGATGCTTTGCACCAAATACTAACGGGGCACGCGTGTGAGGCTCTCATGCACGTGCACAGCAGGAGCACAGACAGTTCTATCCAAATCAAAAGCTGATGATCAGAGCGGAGCTAGAGCGGGAAGAAAAACGAGCAGAAGTTTGTTGCGCTAAAGTGTGGATTTAACCAAGAAAATAAAGATCAGATGACAAAATCCAACAAAAATAATCTCAACAAAACTTGGACCTTTTTTGAAAGCTTGTAGGTTCTCTGTCAGGTTCTCTGATAATGTTTCTGTCAGCTGAGATGGAGCTGTTGTAGTTACAGAGAGTTCTATGGGGGAAAATGTCTAGGTAGCCGTTTGTGAAACATTTTAGGCTGCAGTACCGCGGGAAGCCACCAGCCGTGGGTCCTTCAAGCTATAAGCTAGTTATTTCCTATCCTATTTTTTTTAATCCCTGGTTCAAACGCTACTGTCAGCACTAGATCATATACGGAATCGGGACGGGATCCGGAAGTAAATCCAACAAACTACTGCCTACATGCCAAACTTAACCCAGAATTCCCTTAAAATAACCCCCAACCCAGCCTGTAACCCTTTAACCTTATACCATCTTCTAAGACACCTCAAACTTAACCAGTCACACTTAAGGACTTTTTAGTCTAAATCTAAATTCAAAAGTAGGATTGTTACTTCGTTTTCGTTCCGATTCCGTATATGATCTAGTGCGACAAACGCTACTCAACGTGGAAATTCAACTAGGAAACTTACGTACTCCTGTGTTGGAACAGTTTGATTCCATTGTTGAGGAATCGACGACTGTACAATAAATAAACATGTTTCATACTCACAGCATGACGTCCAGGCACACTGATGGCCAGACACGATCCACACTATGGTCCATGGCGGCTAAGGGACAGATCATCGTTCGGGACGGGGGCGGTCACAGTGGGACCGAGCTGTTCGTGGACATCCAGGGGCTCTGCGGTGGTCGCCGGGGGGGGGATCCTGCATTGTTCAGGAATTTGCCACTCGCTGTTGACTCAAAACTCCGGACTATCCCCGGTCGCCCTTAGCATCCCGGAGCATAGCATTATTGGACGCAGCACAGCCCCCGAAGGCAGTCCGTTCCTCATGTCGACCCAAATGTCTGTGACCTCATCAGACTGGTCCCCTCCTCTCCGCTGTGGTGCACTTATTGCTAACGCTAACGCTTTTTTTTTTTTTTTTTTTGATCCAGGGGGTGGAATTTGCCGTGGACAGTACGTGGTTTTCTGTGGGTGGGACTGGAGCTGGATTGCGGACGAAGCTATCAGTGGAGGTTCCGTTGCACCTCTCTCAGCGTTGATGGCGTGATGCTCCGAACGCCGGCGGACCGCCTGGAGGTTGGCCTCTGCGTTTGAGGCGAGTGCAATATTGTGATTTTTGTATGTGGTGATTTCTAAAGACTTCCCACGGTCTGTGTCTGAACCTGGGACTTCACCGAGTTCTCTGGGCAGCGGTGCCAGAGGTGGGTTGATGAAATGGAGGGTGGTAGGGTGAGAGTGAGTGATCCATGCCGGGGGTGCAGGGGGGGTTGAGGGGCGAGTGGAGGGAGGCCAGAGGACCACTCCCCGCTTACTGGAGCCTCTTGTGGCCAGTCCTGGTGCTGCTGGGTTGCTGCAGGAGACATGGGGTCGCCCGGCGATAGGACTGATACCGATCCTGGCCAGAAGCGAGCAAGGTGGATGAGGATACCTGCACACACACAACACACACACACACAACACACACACACACACCACACACACACACACGGAACACACCACACACACAACACACACATACATGGACACAACACACACACAAATGGACACACACACACAACACGCTCACACCAAAGGACAACACACACACACAACGGACACACCCACACACATGGACACAACACACACATAGACACACAGACACACCACACACACACACACACACACAAAGAACACAGACACACACAACACACGCAAAGACACACTGACACACCACACGCACACATCCACACACACACACACACCGGAACACACCACACTACACCCATGGACACAACAGACACACAAGACACACAGAACACACACACACGCAAAGGACACACAGACACACACACACACAACACGCCACACACAAAGACCACTCGGACACACACAAAAGGCAAGTTATTTGTATAGTAAGTTAATACACAAGGCAACTCTAAGAACACTTGTATTAAACCAGTGCCAAGGAGGAACTAAAAAAGTATCTAGGGACTAGATATATCCGGTAGGGTAGGGCTGGTGGGGGATAACGGGGCTAAACTCCATTGATCCCATTAGCTTTTCCTTTACGTACTTTCCAAATATATGCAGGCATATTCCAATAATGACTGATTACCTCAATAGACCTAAAGTGGGTTAGCTTTACTATCTATGGTAAGCACTCTTCAATTAGCAGTCTCTATGGTTAACGTCTCTACGGTTAGCTGTTATTCTTGTGTTTCTTTAAACTGGCACAGAGTTAGGGGGCGACGGTCTTATTCGGGGACACTCATTCTAATTCTTGTCTTGTCCTACGTTTGTTACTCCCGCCACTGCCTGACGTCATATGGAAACCCATAGAATGGTTAATATTCTACGGTAGCAGTCTATTGGTTAACAGTTTATAGTTAGCGTTCTAGGTTAGCGTTCTTTGGTTTAGCGTTCTATGGTTAGCGTTCTATGGTTTGCGTTCTATGATTAGCGTTCTATGATTAGCGTTCCTATTGATTAGGCGTACTATGATTAGCGTTTATGATTAGCGTTCTACTGATTAGCGTTCTATGATTTGCGTTCTGATGATTAGCGTTCTATGATTTGCTTTCTATGGTTAGCATTTAGGGTTAGCGTTTCTTGGTTAGCGTTTCTATGGTTAGCGTTCTATTGATTAGCGTTCTATGATTAGCGTTCCTATGATTAGCGTTCTATGATTAGCGATTCTATGATTAGCAGTTCTATGGTAGCATTCTTATGGTTAGCGGTTCTTATGGTTAGCGTTCTATGGTTAGCGTTTTATGATTAGCGTTCTATGATTAAGCGTTCTTTGGTTAGCGTTTTCTATGGTTAGCGTTCTATGATTAGCGTTCTATGGTTAGCATTCTATGGATAGCGTTCTATGGTTAACAGTTATGGTTAGCGTATCTTATGATTAGCGTTCTATGGTTTGCGTTCTATGGTTAGGGTCTATGGTAGCATCTATGAGTTAGCGTTCTATGGTTAGGTTTACGATGATTAGGTACTTTTGGATTAGCATACTTTTGATTAGTACTATGATTAGCGTTCTATGATTTGCGTTCTATGGTTAGCATTTATGGTTAGACGTTCTATGGTTAGCGTTCTTTGGTTAGCGTTCTATGGTTATGCGTTCTTTGATTAGCGTTCTATGGTTAACGGTTTATGGTTTAGCGTTCTATGTTTAGCTTTTTATGGTCTAAGCGTTCTGATGGTTACGTTTATGGTAAGCTATTCTAATGGTTAGCGTTCGTTATGGTTAGCGTACTATGATTAGCGTACTATGATTAGGCATACTATGATTTAGCGTTCTATGATTAGCGTTCTATGATTAGCGTTCTCATGTTAGCGTTTCTATGGTTATCCAATTCTATGTTTAGGTTTTATGGTTAGCGTTCTATGATTAGCGTTCTATGGTTAGCGTTCTATGGTTAGCGTTCTATGGTTAGCGCTCTATGGTTTGCGTTTATGGTTAGGTTCTATGGTTAGCGTTCTATGGTTTACGTTATATGGTTCTAGCGTTCTCTGATTGCGTTCTATGGTTAGCGTTCTTTGGCTAGCATTCTATGGTTAGCGGTTCTTTATGGTTAGCGTGTACTATGATTAGTTATTTGATTAGCTACTATGATTAGCGTTCAATGATTAGCGTTCTATGGTTAGCTTCTATGGTTAGCGTTCTATGGTTAGATTCTTTGGTAGCGTTCTGGCTAGTCGTCTATGATTAGCGTTCTATGGTTAGCGTTTATGGTTAGCGTACTATGATTAGCGTACTATGATTAGCAAACTATGATTAGATTACTGAGGATTAGCGTTCTTTGATTAGGTTTATGGTTAGCATTCTATGGTTAGCGTTCTATGGTTTGGTACTATGATTAGCGTACTATGATTAGCATACTATGGATTGCATACTATGATTAGCGTTCTATGATTAGGTTTCTGAGGTTAGCTTCTATGGTTAGCGTTCTATGGTTTAGGTTCTATGGTTAGCGTTCTTATGGTTAGCCGTTCTAATGATTAGCGTCTATGGTTAGCATCTTATGGTTAGCTTTTTATGGTTAGCGTTATATGGTTAGCGTTTCTATGGTTAGCGCTCTATGGTTAGCATGCTGGGCGTCCTCTCGCTCTGTCTGTTTCCATCGCTGCAATCAGTCCCAAAAGGAGCAGAGCAGTGACAGGCCGTTAGCAGAAGTCGGGGGGGTTACGTTATCAACCATAAGAAGTCTTAGAGGGAGAGGGGGAACGTGGAGGGACTATTATTATCCCCATTAGCCTCCCTACCCAGCCGTTATCCACACGATATTGGGAGAAGGCCTCGCTTTAAAGGCCACATGAAGCAAGGGGTCATTGACTTGTGGGTTATTACAAACACAAACACACACACACATAACTTATTAATCAAAAACCTAAAAAACCCGAAGTATGAAGGTGTAAGTATTAGTACGTGTGAGTAAGGATGGATCATTCACAAATAAAATAGGACGTATCTCTTGTGTTTGTGGCTGTTTTACCTTTTGAGAACAAAACCGTGTAAAATCCAAATATTATTAAAAAACCGTTTTCTTTTAAAGGGCTCCATTTTTTTTGGGATGAATAAAGGCCCCGTTCTTATCTTTTATTCCCCACAATGTCACTTTTAATTGGCTCTTTTAATTAAAATGTATTTCAACATTAAAAATTACTATTAATATTTGCAAATTACCCTAAATATACTGTTATATATTTATGGAGTAAAATATAATTCTGTTTTATTGGGGCAGGTTTATCCACAATGTTAGTTTTTTATCATTCTTATTTCGGATTTTATTTGACCCCGTGTGATTTACCGGCTAGAAAAAAAAAACCAGGGATGGGAGGTGGTGGTGGTGGGACTGTGAAGTAATTTGCGATAGGTCAAAAATAAAAAAGATGGAGTGCATTGCACTTGATCACTGGAAATCGAGCAGGTGTTATTCTGAGGCCAGAATTAAACAGCGTTGTTTGGTGCTTGCTTGTGTGTGGGGGGCGAAGCCTCTACAGCACTCATGTTCTGCAGTAAATATGAAAACAAACTCTATTCTCCACAAGGGCCAGAGCCGAGACCAATGAAGGTGAGAAGAGCATGAGAAATTCCGGCAGTCAGTTTTATGGCACAGAAAAAAACTAAAAAAACAATGGCTGGGTTTTTAAAATAAACAACATTAACATTAAATAAACATTATTTATATATTGATCTATATTGTAAACAGTTTTCAGCATCTATGTGTTTGTTTACCATCATACAACGTCCAGTTTACCGGATTGAAAACTGATCTGCTCGTTGTTTGCATGTGGGCTCGTAAACCGGATGCTATGAGACAAGGCCGCAGATGCATGTAGGAGCGCAGGAGTGAACGCAGATTGAAGGAGGTGGGGGTGAATAGGCCCAAGATTCAATTGTTGTTTTTCGTAATTCAATTTAAAATATGAAACTAATACATGATTTATTATAGTTTGTAGATAAGGGACATAAAAACATGGTGCAGTATAATCACACAGTTGGAAGGATGTAATTTCTACATGGGAGAACTTTAAAGGCTGAAATATGTCTCACACAAAAAGTCAGGTGTCCTTTCGAAATGAACTTTAAAAAAAATCTCTGAGTTCTACTTTTCCCACTCGCACTGACACAAAATCCGATCAAAGTGAAAATGGCACAGAATCCTTATCAGTTGAATTCATATTGCCACAAGTTCAGAGAGATTTATCAGTATAAATATTAGTACCGATAGGTAATAATGGTCAAACATTGATCTGCAAAACAACAGTCTGTAGTTAGTGAAAATCTCTGGGACAGCCACTTTTTGAACAAATAATAGAACTTTCAGACATGTCCTTCCTCGTTTCTGCACACAGTTCATTACTGCACAGTACCATCATCATCATCATCAGTGTCCAGACAGTTATGGTCTATGCTCCAAACACATGCTGATTTATAGTGGACACATCAGGGGAGTCCACTTGTAGCTTTCAAAACTATGCAGTCATTTCTTTGCCAAATGATGTCGGTGTGTTGCCATTAACTTAACTGGTGATGTATCGAGGGACGGGACATTTATGCACAAAAGCTGCTGAATGCGTCGTTCCTGCGACCCGCACTGGGAGGAGGCGGCGGTGAACCTTTCACTCAACTCCTCTCATTGATGACAGCGGAACGTCAATAAATCAGTTCCTAAAGTCGGGGCCAGAGCGCTGATTCCAAAACCAGTTTGTTCCAACGATCTTTCACAATCACCATCGCAGTCAATGTCAGGCCTTCACAGCACACGCAGACAGACGCAGAAGAACACACAGACACACCAACACACACACAGACACAAGGCACAGAACAGACAAAAGACGATCGCAGCAGTCAAAGACGATCGAGACAGTCAAAGACGATCGCAGACAGTCAAAGACCGATCGCAGACAGTCAAGACGATCGCAGACAGTCAAAGTCGATCGCAGGCAGTCAAAGACGATCGCAGGGGACAAAGACGGCGCAGACGGAGCGAGGACGCAGAAAGACGCACACAAACGGAAGTGTAGACAAACGCAAAAAAGGATGCAGATGTACGCAGACAGACAGGACACAGACGAGCAGACAGACAAAGACACACGCAGACAGACAAAAACAGACTCAGACAGAAGACAAAGACACACGCAGAAGACAAAGACAGACTCAGAAGACAAAAGGACTACACGCAGACAGACAAAGACAGACACAGGACAGGTCGCAGACAGCACGCAGACAGGACAAAGACAGACACAGAAGACGCAGACAGACGTACAGACAGGACAAGACACACGCATACAGCGCAGACACAACGCAGACAGACGCAGACAGACCCCAGACAGACACAGACTCCACGCAGACACACGCAGACAGACGCAGACAGACGCAGACAGACAAAGACACAAGCAGACAGGACGAGACAGACGCAGACAGACACAGACCAGACGCAGACAGAACAGACGACAACAGACAGACGCAAGGACAAGACGCCACAGACAGACACGACAGACACAGGACAGAGCAGTCAGACGCAGTACAGGGACACAGACCAGACACAGACAGACGCAGACAGACGGCAGGGACAGGGGGGACACAGACAGACCAGTCAGACGCAGGACGACGACAGACAGGAGCAGACAGAACAGACAGACACAGACAGACGCGGACAGACGCAGACAGACAAAGACAGAAGCAGGACAGCGCAGGATGACACAGACAGACAAGACAGACGCAGACAGACGCTGACAGAGCAGCAGACGCAGACAGACAACAGACAGACACAGACAGACGCAGACAGACACAGACAGACGCCGACAGACGCAGACAGACACAGGACAGACACAGGACACACGCAGACAGACAAAGACCCACACACTGCCAGCTCACATCAGACCAGAAGCAGACAGACACAGACACACACAGACAGAAAAGACAACACACAGACAGCACAGACACACGCTGACAGAGAAAGACACACACAGACAGACACAGACAGACAAAGACAACACAGACAGCCGCAGACAGACACAGACAGACAAAGGACACACACAGGAACCGACAAGACACACAAGACAGACACAGACACACGCAGACAGGACACACACAGACAGACACAGACCACACGCAAGACAGACATCACGAGACAGGACACACACAGACAGACACAGACGACGCAGGCGGATATACTGTAAAGAGAAACATTTATTCTACAGCTCCAGGGAAAACCCTTGTTAAGTTACCTTTTTGTTATCCAGTAATTAATACCTAAACCAATTTGCCTCTTGCTATAAATTGGCAGGGAGAAAATCATGAGATGGAATATAATTAAAGACGAGCATGAAACAATTTGAAATGAGCAAAAACTTTTAAAAAGTCCTCAACAATTGACACAGGAGCCTTACAGTAAACCCATTTCTTTGGTTGAAAACCAGGACTTTACAAACGTCAAATGACGATAAGAATCACTGAGAGGCACTGATTAAGCATGTCTCCTCTCGTGTTTTAGCACGGGCTCTGTCCTGGGTTTAGCTTTAGCGACATATTATGCTAATGTCAGGGTCTGCAGACAGGGGGAGATCCTCTGAGGTGTTCCCCTGTTGTCTCCGTGGGCCCCTATCTTGCAGCGTCTGCCAGGAATACCAATGATGAGGCTCCGCTGCACTGCACTCAGCCACCGGAGAGATTCAGAGAAGGTCTGGGTTAAGGTTTCAGGTTAGAGCAGATGGACCTGGGTCTGAAGGTCTGAGTCGGTGAATTCTGATTGGACTGGAGGAGCAGATTAGAAAGTGGCTTGGAGATCTTGGATGTTACAGAGGATAAGATTTATTATATTATCCTGCTGTTTGGATTGAACAAAAAGTTTAAATCAGGACAGATATGGCAATTATCCACTTTATTTTACCAATTGCATCTGGGTTCAATTAAAAATTAGAATAATATGGTTGTTTTCTTGTCTTTTAAAAGGGTATTGGATCGTGCCACAGAAACCCATTGTAATTCATCAACGCTGGTGCAATTTCTACTTCCCTCTAGAATGATGGAAATCCAACTTCATATTTAATTTTTGTCTTTAATTCTGGCTTTTCATTCCAACCGAGAAACTGCACTTCAATCTGCATTAATATTTATTCCTCAAATAAGTGTGTACAACAACATGATTTACTACAACGTCAGATGCACAGGATATACACAATCTCTCTCCAGCGGACGTGGCGTTGGATTGTTTGACCTCAGACGAACGGCTCAACAAATACAATCACATGACCAGACGACGAGATGAGAGAGAGACGAGAGAGAGAGGAGATAGGACAGCAATTAGATTTATTCAAACAAAAGGATTCTTATTGTTTGAATAGACGCCACAGCTAAAAAAAATAATTAATATCGATGACACCAGTGTATACAGTAAACTGAAGATATGTGTGTTGATTTGTATTTATGCATGTTTTTATTCTGTTTTTTTTTAACTTGTTTCCATCGAGAGCAAAACCAATTTCCTAGTTTTGTGATTACTTTACTCAATGGCAATAAACAGATTCTTATTAATAATAATAATAATAAATAATAATAATTGAGGTCAGAAAAATATATGTTAAAATCAATAAGTTGGCAAAATAGCGAGATTATTCAGATTGCAGTAGTGTAAAATGTTTTTGCCGTCTCAGACAATGTTAAAGGGGCTCTGTATGTAGCGGTATAACATTTACCACTCAGACTTTTAGTTCAGTATAGCGGACTTTTTTTTGTTACTGATGCTTCCACCTGCTGGGGATTAGCCAGATACTGTACGAACTCGTATCACGTATGACTTCTTAATTTGTGTTGCTTTTATTTCAACAGTGTGGTGCTATTTTTTGTGTGTTCATGGATCTTATAAATGGTCGTCCTGCTCCGAATGGACCAATGGCTCCTATGCGTTTGTTAATTTGCAAAAATAGTACATTCCTGTGTGGGAACTGTTTGATTCTCTGATCTGTTGTTGAGGGAATCGACAAATTGGGAAAGCCCGAGGACGACTGCTGTTATGACTTCAGACTTTACTCAAATGGGATTGAAATGAATATCAGTATAAAAAGCCGAACACCAGGCACATTTCCCCCCGAACAAAATGGCAACGCAAAAGACTGCCTCCTTTCTGTCTCTGATTGACGAGGATAAAGAAAACCAATATATTGACATCATGGCCTTGTATTTTTGATAATTGCATAGTTTGGGAGATTGCATTTAAGTACATTATATTTACATACAGTTCCTATATAGAAAATGACTCTGCTGTTGTGTCCTTCAGGCAAGATCACTGCGGTGGTCGCCTCATACGATCAGTGCGCAGCGTTCCCTAATCCCTCGTACTTTTTAGGAACTCTAATTTTACAAGTGTTTATTTACGTTTATTCTGTTCTTTTAATTGTACACACGTCTAAGTATACATTCCCAACTTTCCACTGAATGAGCTCAGGTAATTGATCCTTTTGCTGCCGGAAACAAAATCTCTCCATTTACAAGCATGCGGTTAAAGATCAGCACAAACATCAACACTTTTTGTTTTAAAGCAGTTTGTAAGGATTTAAGGAGGAAAGAGTTAGAGGTGGGTATTTATTATGGTGTGGACTTTATTAGTATTATATTGTTTTTTTTTAATTCTTACAGATTGGTTTATCTTGTTGTTGCTCACTGTGTGTATTTTTCCCGTATTTTAAGTTTGTTTTCCCCACTTGTGGTCCGTCCATTGTTTCTACCGTTTGATTTGGATTAGATTTTTTTTATTAAAAACATTTCTTTCAGTCCTGCATTTTGGGTTCCTTAACATGTGTGTGTGCTACATTTGTACATAGGCATGTGTAACGCGCTTGGTCGTAAAAATGCGCTGTATAGATAAAGATTACTTTACAGAATTTTTAATAATCAACACTCTTTTGATATGTTCCAGTCTGGTTTTAGACCCCACCACAGCACAGAGACCGCTAGAGTGAAGGTAACAAAGACATCAGACTTAACACTGGACGCAGGGAAATGTCCTCTGTTATTATTCTGTGTAGAATTGAGTGACTGCTTTCGACACTGCTCGATCATGGTTTCCTCATTCAGAGACTTGAGGAACTGGGTTGGTGTTTCTGGAACAGCCCTAAGCCGGATTATATTCCTTACCTACAGGACGAAAGTATTTTGTGGAGATCGTGAAACTGTGTTCAGACCATCTGGCCTGACCTGCGGAGTGACTCAGGGCTCAATTCCTGGGGCCTCTCCTGTTCATATTTACATCTGCTCTGGGTAGGTTAATACACAGTAATAACGTGTCCTATCACAATTTACGCTGACGCATACTCAGGTCTATGTGGCCCTCCCTGACAGCAGGGTGAAATGGAAACAGTGAACTCGCTCCTTCACTGTATCCACAGAATCCGTGATTGGATGCCAAATTAACTTTCTCCAGCTAAAACAGAAAAAAACTGTGAAATATTGTTTTAGGACCTCAGAAGCGAGGGTGAGAGCGTTATCTGCAACCTTCCAGTCTCTCTCCCTGAAACCTCAAATCAGGGTCAGAAATCTTTGGGAGTAATAATGGACTCAGACTTAAATTTCAATAGCCACATATCATCTGTGACATCATCAGCTTACTTCCACCTAAGAAACATTGCTAAAATTAAAAACAAAGTGTCTAAAGCAGACTTGGAGATTCTTATCCACGCATTTGTCTCCAGTCGATTGGACTACTGCAATGGCCTGCTCACAGGTCTCTCTAAACGAGCGGTAAAACAGCTGCAGTACATCCAAAATGCTGCAGCTCGAGTCCTGACTAGAACCAGGAAGTACGACCACATTAGTCCGGTCCTCAGGTCTCTGCACTGGCTTCCTGTGGCTCAGAGAATAGACTTTAAAGCAGCTTTACTTGTGTACAAGTCTCTCCATGGCCTCACACCAGGGTACATCCGCGACATGTTGGTGCCATATGAACCAACTCGGGCTCTGAGGAGCACAGGGACTGGACTTCTGTTAGTGCCAAGAGTCGGAACTAGACATGGGGAGGCTGCTTTTCAGATTCATGCAGCTAGAGTCTGGAACCGTCTGTCCGAGAGTGTGAGACAGGCGTCTACTCTAGCAGTTTTTAAAACTGAACTGAAAACAGTTCTTTTTAGCTGTGCATACAAGTGAATGATTTTATATTTGTTTTTATCTTTAATCTTTTTAATGCGCTATGATTATTTATGATTATTTATGATTGTAATCCCTTGTGTGATTTTAACGTTTTACGGTTTTTAACTACTTGTGTGATTTTATATATCTTGTGCTCTTAATCTGTCTTTTTATGTTTACTTAAATTCTAATGTTTGATGATTTATGCATGATGTTATATGGGTTGTGAGGCGCTTTGCGTTGCCTTGTGTTGGAAAGGCGCTCTACAAATAAACGTTGATTGATTGATTGATCCACAAATCTATGAAATCAAGTTGAAACAAATCCGTAAAATAATCGTTTAAAAATGACACAAAATAAGACATTCTGAGATCCAGTTTTAGCCTCCACCACATTCCTCCGTAGAAGTTCAAGTTTGATAATTCCCGGAGTGAAGGTTGTGACGGGATAAAGCCCCCTGCTCTGCTTCACACAGAGAGGCCAGAAGTGGAGACGGCTTCCTCCAAACAGACTCTGCCTTTGCATAATGCAGCGCCATTATATTCAGGAGAAGAAACATTTGGACTTTTACATTAAATTTGCAAGGCTAATGTTTTGTTTTTCTGCTTCGTAAGTAGTGGAAGGAACTGAAGAAAGCAGAACATTGGATTCTTTGCTCGTGAGATTCATTTCTGTGGGTTTCAAAATAGACAACATGGATTTGTAAATCAAGTCAGCGATAGATTTTATATATGTGAAGCCGAAATATCTCTGGTGAAGTAAAAAAGCGGGTTTGACAGTGTGTTCGCAGGCTTTGGGAGTGGATTCATAAAAGTACTTTAAAATGGGGTACTTTTTTGTGTTTTTAACCTGGTTAAAAACACACTGGTTTTCTGAAAGATGCAAATCAGAAAAGCACATTAGTCATTTCTGTCTCTTTTTGAATCCATTTATCTTAAATTCTGACCGTCTGAAAAACCAGATTCTCCGACGGGACAAAGCATTGTATCATTCAAAGGGAGACATTTCTTGGATCTTTGTGAAGCAAGATAATTTAACTTTCTCCCATTTGCAAATCCTGTTTTAAAGGCTCGTCTAGAATGGGCTGAAATTAAAATGAATTTTGCCAAAATTGAATAAAAAAATGACATGTTTTTCATCACATTTTGCAGTGTAAGACGGGTCATGTGAGTCACTATTTGACACTTTGGGCAGAGAGATGAAGATGCCGAATGTAAAGTATGTGTAGAAACTGTTTCAGAGTGAGGAACTAGGCTGGAGGGATTTTAATAAATACTTCCAATATTTGTGGTTTGAAAGTTCAGGGACGGACAACCACACTATTTTATTTAATTTATTTTTTACTCTATAGATAGATATATTTCTATCTATCTATAGAACAAGGCGATTTGGGCGGCACGTTGGCTGAGTGGTTACCAAGAACATCCTGGGTTCAAATCCCGGTCGGAACAGTGCTTTTCTGAATGGAGTTTGTATGTTCTCCCCGTATCTGACTAGGTTTCCTCCAGGTGCTCTGGTTTCACCTTCCACTGAAAATAACTACAATAGATCTGGCATGTGCCTCCTGTACCTGTGATCTCGCTCCCATCTCTGTGCAGAGTGAGAACCCACATTTGTAAAGCCCTTTGTGACTATATGAATAAAACTTACTTACTTAAGCTTCCTTACTTACAGACCAATGTATAAATGTTGATAAATCTCCATAAATTATTATTCAGATACTAATTTTGTGTTCAATCTGTGAATTATTACAGCCCTAGTTACTGTAACCCCCATTACTGCCGCTGGAGTCAAAATTGAAAAAGCGTAAACATGACTTTTGCCTTTCTTTGTGTAAACGTAAGTACCACTGACAACCAGCGCTTGCTTTACCAGTCACTCCTGACCTTGTAATCCATCACATTCCAAAGGATCGTTCAGCAGCAGCTTTAACCTCCATAAACCTGTGTATAGGTCTCACATTCATTTACCCTGAGCCGAGGCCACAGGCTCCCCCCTCCCAGAGGTGGTGGGAGGGGGGGAGCCAATGTGTGCGTTTGAGCGGCTGTGAAATGTGCTTTTGCCGTGGCCATTGTGGAGCCGGTAATTCTGCTGCTGCTATTGTTAAGCTTCTACAGGAGCGGCTGAAGAAAAGACCCGAATCCTATTTTAGACAGAGGGTGTTCAACGGTTAAACCAACCGCAGATACACAGTGTAAGAGGATACGAGCGCTGAAGATGCTACGCAGAAAGTGACTCGGTCGAAAAGCTTCTTACTTACTTATCGTTATCAGAAATTGCTCCATTTTTGGCGATTTACATAGTCACTTTTATCTTCATGCTGCTAACACGTACAGACGTATACGACGATATGACTGAGCCAAAAAGGCAGAACAAAAAGTAACTGTGTATTACAAATATTTACTTTGGTGAGAGCTGGGTTCTCGGGAACAGGACAGGACCAAGACGCGATCAGGACGGGACCAGAACAGCACCGAGACAGCGATAAAGAGGAGGTGAGCAGGTAATGAGAGCGGTGCGGGAGTGGAGAGGAGATAAAAGACACAAGAGGATAGATAAAAGTACAAAAACAAACGTCAAGAAGCCACTCTACAAAATAGATATGCCGTTGTTGGAGGCTCCAGTGGATTTTTACTTACTTATTTGATTTGAAAGTTTTTTGGGCCTTTCACCTTTTGTCTGTAAAATAAAAACTAGGTTACTGAGAACTGTCTTCTTCAGATTTGGCCTGATGCACAATTGTGTAAAAATACATGTGATATATTTGTTCTCAATGTCTAAGACTAAGAAATGAATAACTTCCCAGCACTGCCTCTTCTGCAGGACATTACATGAATACGCAAACATGCATGAATTAAAATTAAAAAAAAAAACAGTTTGACTCTAGTGTTTAGTGTTTTAATCTTATCTACTTGGAATCTGCTGGGAACTGAACTTCTCTATCCCTTCTACCTTGTGTTATTGGTGCTTCTTCATCCACTTTAATTTACCAGACTTGTCCAGGGGCCTACAACCTGGATTGAAAAACTGTTTTGAACTTTCTGACTGGAGTTTGCATGTTTGCCCCGTGTCTGCGTAGGTTTCCTCCGGGTGCTCCGGTTTCCCCTACCACTAAAAACAATAGGTCGCTTCTGTCATCACCGTGTGTGGAAGGATTGGAACAATATCTGACTCTGAACATTGGAAAGTGCTTTGGGTCTGTACCTTTGGGTCTGTACCTTGGTCTGTCAAATGTGCTATATAAATAAACATTACTTACTTACTCACTTAAAATCAGCTTTAATAGCAACTCAATTTTGTGTCACAATCATAAACAAGCTTTACCACAAGCAATAACAATCTACACATACATAATGGTAGAGCTGAGGTTGGCTGAATGACACTGTGAACTGGTGTCTATAACATCGTGTGTTAGTGAGGCAGAGGGCCAGATAACATGACACCGAGGGCCGCAGTTTGGACTTGCCTATACAACATCTTTGAAAATATAAAAATGAACAGGACATTGCTTGAACATTAAAGGGTTAAAAACATTCCCCTGTGGAGTGTGGCTCTAACCTCAGACTCTGTCGATGTGTTCGTCGGAGTCGGACAAAACAAACGTGATCCTTTCCCACAGTTCTGGGGCTGGAGGTGGTGACGCATCACGAAACGCCGGCAGCTCTGGGCCTTCTGCCTCATTAAAAGTGCAGCGCCGAGGAGACACCGGGAGACGGAGAGAGCACCCGTGGGTGGCCAGCCGGTGTTTAAGCTCGGGTCTGTCCTGTCCTGCCTCTGGGCCTACAAACCCAGCCATCACCCAGGCATGGCTACAAACCCAGCCATCGCCGCTCTCTGCTTTTGCAATGTAGCACCTTGTCTGGAAGAATTAAGCTAAGTGGGTTGGGATTGGGAATCTACGTTGGCGCGGTATAGAGAGATGTGTGGAGAGAAACACGGGGAAAATAACCAAAGTTGCTTCTAATAACCAATAATGTTATATATAATAATGAATTGTGTGTGCTGATAGCTTCATAATGACTTACAAACTCACCAGCTGGTTATTGGATCATTGGCCTTACGAGGGAAATTAGATATTATTACTTAAGATTACTTATTTTCACACACGTATCATGTGTAGTTACAGCTATTTGGTGAAACCCAAACAAAATTAAAAGTAAAATTCCCACTCACTCATTCCTTTTGTCTAATGGCTGCAGTCTTAGTTGTTGTAGCACTTTGAGAAAATAAAAGTATGGTCCATGAATTAGTTTTGGAGATTTCTCAAATGAAATTACATTCTTTATTTTGTGTTTTCAGCCAAATTCAATTCAGACAAAAACAACCACTTTCTTCTGGTAGAAGCACAGGGACAGGGTCGATAACATTTGCCTTTGATTCTTGTTTCACCGTTTATTTTCTACTGGATATATTCTCCATCCATCCATCAATTTTTCTTCCCCTTAATCCATTTCTGGGTTGGGGGGTGGCAGTCAGAGCACCAGCCCCTCACTGATCCTCCTGCAGGTGCTGAGTCCACAGGAGATTGTTCAGCAGGAGCTTCAGGCAAAGTGGGGTTAAGTGTCTTGCCCAAGGACACAACGACAGCAGACATCAGTGGGAGTGGATATATTCTAAATAAATAGTTTTTTTAAATTGCTATAAATAGGGACCAAAACAGATCTCACAGTAACAGAGGCCATGGTAACAGACAGAGACCCGGCGAGGTCACTTCAGCACCACGGACAGCGCTCAAGCAAACTGTTTGGGTTATTTAATTTACAATAAATAATGTTATGTATTAATCAATTTGAATACAGCAAAAAACCCAAATTTTAGGAAAGAACCACCCTCTGGTTTATTTTGACAAGCACGTATCACCAGAATGATTGACAATTGGATCAATAGAAGAGAAAGAGTGATAATCCACCCAAAGAAGAATATCCTCCTATATACCTTTTAAATAACATCCAAAGCAATGAGTAAAAACATACAAAGCTTCTTCCCGCCTCCTCCAATATCCACCAACGATCCAAGACAAGTAACTATTATCCAGAAGCCAAACTCTTTGCTTTACTCCTGCGTCTAAAATCACTTCATGCATTCAAACACAGACATCCTGTACTTTCGACT